TTCACCACTCCTGTTCTAGACAAACAACTAGCAGCAACAGTTTGGATGGACTGAAGCCACCATGAGCACTATTAAAGCAAAGTCACTTTTGCCTAATTTACCTAGTTTTGCCTGTGACAGTCTTCCCCATTTATGCTGGTGGGCATTTCTGTCTGCCTTCTTAACGTCACTTCTTATATACCATTGACCCAGCTTTAGATAGCACTGATTTTATCAGTGTTGTTGATTTTAAAAGGCCTCCCTTTAGTTCTCTTTTTGCTTTAAAATTAAACCTGAGGTTTTTCAATTATTTTAAATTGAAGATTTTGATCCATTTAATTTTTAACACTTCACACTTGAGAGATCACTACAAGTTCAATCTTAATTTTGTTAGGAAAAGAAGCCAAACCCAAATCCCAGTTCCCAACAAGAGCACAGAATAAAATCTTAGTTAAATGCATCTGTGTAAGAAGTGAAGAGCTGGCATCCAAATTTTCATCTTATTACTAATGAACGAGTTGTATGTACATATCGTGGAAGATCTGAGAGGCACAGAAGAGTGTGAGTAGAGGACCCCCACCCTTGGCACATTCCCAGGCAGGGGCCCAGTAGGTCCCACCTCCATTCCTTCACTCATCAATGAGCTATTCATGAGGTGGAAGAGAACAATTTTTTTTCTTTGCTGAAAACAAATAACCATCAAGGTTGAGGACTGTATATTCAATTTTCTACATGCACACAACATTTGACTTTAATTACTGTTTGTGAATAAGGGTAATATGGTAATTTTGCTCCCTTTGAGAAACTGCATTCTAAAAAAATTGTGAAAAATGAGTAACTCCTAACATAAAAAAAATGTGATGTTTTTACTTCATTATTGTAAAGGTGTAAATAAAGGCAGCAGGGAAAGTGTGGGAAAGTAAGGATAGTATTTCTAGTATATATGAGTAATTCTTTGAAGAATAATTGTACATTTTTTTCTAATATTTTGTTTAAAAGAGATAAGCAATCCCACCCACAATTTTTAAAATAGGAAACTTTTTGCTATATTGACAAACAAGCTAAAATTTTTTTTACATAATAGTATTTTTCTTAGATAATAATGTTAGTAGTTAGTTCCAGCAATAACTACATGTATGGACAGGAGACATTGTTCATATTTATATTTTTAATTATGTAATCACATAGAAGAAAAATTGGCAAATAGAGAAGACAGATATATCCCTAGTAGCACCATCACCCCAGTATTAATCCCATCAGCATGGTTATATAACAGTCTTTTTTTGCTTTATATCTTTTAATTTAGTTAAAACTTCTAATCTTGCTCATTATCCAAGAGTACATGATTATGTCACATATTATTGCATAATTGTGTTTTTTAAATTTGATTTTTTTGAATGTTCACTTGAAATTTAAAATGGCAAAGATATTTTCAAGACTGGTGATAAATTTCTTGACTTACTGTCAAGAAATGAGTATCTAAGTCAGTTCATATCAATCTTTGATTTCATAAGTATGACAATTGAATAACCATAATTCACTTTCAAATTGGAGTTTAAAAATGAGCACTCCTGTGGGAATTTATTTTAAATGTACCAGAATTTTGTATGTGTTTTGGTTACTAGAGTCTTTTTTAGAGTAGGGAAGCATAGGAACAGAGAAAAGCGTAGAAGGGAGCAACAGAAGTAGACTGTCTGCATGCCATATGCAATTTCCCTAAACATGCCACAGACTTGCCTCCTAGCTCTGCTCTTTTTTTGTGGTGGTCTGGTGTTACAGTCACCCTGAGTGGACTCTTCTAGGACAGAAGAGTGTTTTACTCTGATTTCCTCATATTTAGCCAAATTTCTAGCATAAAGCAAGCTTTTAAAGAACACCCAAATGATTGAAGGAAGAGAGGGCAATATGCATATACACCAAGCACAAGAGAATTATATCAGGATGCTTTTGTTTATAAGCTACACAGTATGAACTACAAGTGGTTAAACAATAAGGACATTTTGTAATTTCACATGACACCAAGTTCAGAGTCAGGGCAGTTCCAAGGTTGGTTATGCATCTGACTGTCAGGAAAGACCCAGATGGTTTTCATTTTTGTACTAAGCCATCCTCAGTATATTGGTGATTTTTCCGATAGAGTTGCAAGATGGATGTAGGAGTTCCAGATGTCATTTACAGACATGACCATGTCCAGCAAAGAAGAGGCAGTATTAACCTCCTGCGTATCTCTTTACAACAGAGAAGAACCTCTTACAGATGCTTCTAACTGACGTCTACTCAGGAGTCATTGGCCAGGATTGGCTCACAAGCCCATGTCCTGACTGACAAAGCAACTGGGTGGATAACAGGGACAGCAAGAAGTAGTAGGGAAGAAGAGACAGATATGCCATAGATAAACTAGGAGTGACAGAAGCAGAATGAAATAGCTAGCCTGTAGTGTGTGTAATATAAGTGTGGATTATTTGGGCCCATTGTATTTTCACCTGCATATATACCCTTTTATACTTTACATATGTATGAAAGTAGGACAGTATTATTTATTAATAATAATGTGTACCACTCAGAAACAGATTCTGGTTTTATAGGACCATATATAGAGAGACGTACATGAAATTGCAAGACAAAATTGCTAAGACAAACCCAGATCCGTGGAAGCTTCATTACCTTCACCACAAATCTTTCCCCTGTGCTGTCCCCAATGTTCCCCACAATTAACATTGCTGTTATAGGGATAATAGAAAATAGCGTAGGACTGGGATGGGATTGGGTAACAAGTAGAAAGAATGGTTTGTTTCATTAGTCACATTATAATATTCAAGGAAAGAAGAGCATGGCATTCTGACAGTCAAAGAAAAGTAAATGTATGAAAATCACAAAGGTAATTGATATTTTACAAATAAAGTTTTTGCTAGTAATACTCTTAAACAATTGTAGTTTACTCTTTATTCTTAGTAACTATGTATAAAAAAGAAACTACATAATGAAGTAATTCTTATACTCTCCTAAAACAAAATGTCTCATCCATTTATGTTCCAAGTGCCCTTAGGTATGTACATACAAAGTTCATATTTCCATATAATACCTATATAATTGAGTGATATAGGTATTAATAAATTAATAAGTGATATGTTGATAATGAACATAAATGTGAAAATTATACCTAGAAATTGCATATCACACTTTTTGTTTTCTTCCAGTGTCCCTCGGGTGGGCAGGTGGGAGAGAGAAATAGTGATCACCTGTTTTACTGACAGCTACAGTGGAATCCCAGACATGTTTCTGAGGATTGTGATAATGCTAGGTTGACAATGTAGTCTCTTACTGTAATTCTCTTTTATTTACCATTTCCACTCATCTGGCTCTGGTTCTTGAGATTATATGTTAACTTCCCCTTGTACTTCAAATTTTGACTAGATATTTAAAATTGAAACATTTTTGCTAATCTATGTAGAGTTAGTTTATGGAAGTGAGTTACATGAACCAGAGTTGAATGAACCAGGCATATAACCTTTCACCGATATTTCTTTTTATATATATATATATATATTTTTGTTGTTGTTGTTTTGTTTTAAAGATTTATTTATTCATTTATGCATATAAGAGCTGGGGTGTAGGCCAGAGGTGCAGGAGGCAGGGTGAGAGGATTCACCAGAGACGTACTAGGGAGCCGAACAGGCAGATCTGTTGAAATACACATGCTGCAGTGGCTGCAGATTGTTCATGGTGCTGAGACTTTACCCCTTGTGCCACCAGGGAGGCCCCCTCAATAATGCTTCTTAAAGAAAGAATGAATAAATCGTTTATATTATATTGGGACTTTTTGGATAATTATAATAATTGAAGGAAAACAAATGTTGGACACAAATCTGTTTTCTTATAAAATATGATATCACCAATACTTTGAAAAATTACACACCATATTTACTTTATTTTTTTTTTTTTTTTTTTAATTTTTTTTTTTTTTTATAGAGGCATGCTTTATTTATTTATTTGTTTGTTTGTTTGTTTTGTTTATACATGCACTGGGTACAGTCAGAAGCACGGGAGGGTGAGAGAATTCACCAGAGCCAGAGCGGGGAGCAGAGCAGGCAGAAGGACCGAAGTACACTGCTGAGGGGAGCAGCGGGCGGCAGGAGAGGTCTGCGCGCCGTGTGGGACCCTCCTCCGGTGGCAGGGGAGCAGCCGGGGATAGAACCGGCGCTGCAGAGGCCGCGGGCAGCTTCGCAACCCAGCGCTCAACCGCTGCGCCACCGGGGAGGCCCACCATATTTACTTTAGATTAAATAACTTAAGTAATGCTGAATAGGTATCTTAGCTGGATTTAAAACATGCCCAGGCTACCAGAAATTTGGGGGCTATTATTTTTGGACAAACAAAATGGTTAAGATAATATATTCCTCTATCTAAACACTATCTATCAAAATGCAATTTGTAGTGTGTTTGAAATTTGTAGTCCTGTTTGAAAGTGTTTTTATATGTACAATGAAATTACCTTTTTTATTGTGTATAAAGTTAAAAAAATCTTTTTGAAGTACTATAAAATGAAAAAGAATTAAAAATTGACATTATTGGCATAAGATTCATGCTAATGTTTAGTCATGTAAATAGCACAAAATACTGCCTAATTAGTGTAGTTGGTAAATTTTGGTATTTAATTTTCTCTGTTATTGTAAACCATGCATAAAATACTTGCCTATTGAGAAGTGCAGAATTGTCAGAGCTTAAACAGCTGACATCTGCTTACTCTCTTAAAAAAAAAAAAAAGAATAACAAGCCATTTCAGCCTAATCTACCTCAAATGTGCTCATGTAAATGGAGGTCCATCTATTGACCTGCATGCTTTTCAGCTCAGGATTGGTCCACATGGTTTATGAAACCAGGAAGGCTGATTTGAAATGCAGATGTCGAGACAGTGAAGTACACCCTCCCCTTTTTTCTTTGCTGTATCTGTCAGGGTGAAAAATGGCTTGCACAAGGGTCAGTCACCCATACTCACTTAATTACTTTCCTTGGACCCACAGAACTGTCACAAGCTGTGGTGGATGCGGGAGCTGTTCCTCTTTTAGTACTTTGTATCCAGGAGCCAGAAATTGCTTTGAAAAGGATTGCTGCTTCCACCCTCAGTGATATTTCAAAGCATTCTCCGGAGTTAGCACAGACAGTAGTGGATGCCGGAGCTGTTGCTCACTTAGCCCAGATGATCCTGAATCCTGATGCTAAGTTGAAGGTATTTAAAAATAAAGTTAAACAAACCAACAAACCAGCTTCGTATAGTCTAAGAAAATGGAAATGTGCAAGGATTAATATTCTACATTTAAGAATCATTCCTAAATTATCATTGAAAACAGATAGGAATTATTATGTTTGGTCTTTGAATGTGTAAAAAGCATGCGATAAGGACTGGAGAATAAAAATGCAAATGGGAAACTATGTGCCATGTTAAAAATTGGAGTAGTACCAGGATTAACATGAATCATTAAAGTAAGTGATCGCGGGGGTAGGGGGAGATCACAGTGGACTGTGTTGGAGGACTGTGGGTATTAGGGTGGTGGGAGTGCTATGGTAACTACACCTGAGGGGGGAAATCCTATAGTGTCAATACACTAGCAAGGATGTAAAAAAGTGATATTTCAATTAAAATAAAAATATTAATTTAAAAAATATCACAGAATGATTGAATCACAGAATTAGAGGACAACTAAAAGTTTTTCAGTCCACCACTATAATATTTAAGCCACCACTAAAATTAGCCATACCCATAGCTTTTTTTTATAGCTTTCAAAATTTTGATTTTCATTTGATAGTCACCAATTTTACTTTTGTTTTCTAAAAATTATATTCATAACTTTTTAAATTATATCAAGAAAGCAATGAGTTCTTCAAAATGATATCAGCAAAATGTCAAAATAGTATGTTAGTTCTACTTGATGATTTTTTTACCATGTTATCACATGTATCACAAATTCAGTATTACAAAGCTAAGAAATAATATTCAAGTAATCCTAAAGTCATAATAAATTATTACAAATTGAAATAATCCAAAGATCATATTCTTGATCATCTGCAATATACAGATATTTAAATAATCAATAGAGAGCTAAGACATTTAACTTGGAAATTGACCACTATAGGAAATGGAATATTTAGGAATAAGACTAGGACATGAATGTCTTGAGATTGAGTAATTTTCTGTTAAATATATAATTGTTTTTTCCTTATTAAATAGCATCTGAAGGTTAAAGCTGTTTAAATTACATCTGAACTCTCAGTGGACTCTACTTTATGTTTCTTTCTTTTGGTTTTTACTTAACAGCGTCAAGTCCTTTCAGCTCTTGGTGAGATTGCAAAACACTCTGTGGATCTGGCAGAAATGGTGGTTGAGGCAGAGATTTTTCCAGTTGTACTTACCTGTTTGAAGGACAAAGATGAATATGTGAAGAAAAATGCTTCCACTTTAATTAGAGAGATTGCAAAACATACACCTGAGGTAAAACAAAACAAACATAAAAAAACAACTAGCTTCAAAATACAGTGTGCGGTTAGTTTTATTTTTATGAAAACATCAATTTGTTTATGAGCACCTAAGTGCTCAGCCACATGATCTGGTTAAGTCAGGGTTTCTTAACCTGAGCACTGTGGATATTTTGGACAGATAGTTCTTTGTTGTGGGGGTTTGTCTTGTCCACTATAGGGTGGATGTTTACCAACATCCCTGTCTTCTGCCCACTAGATGCCAGTAGCACCCCTCCTGCCCCTTTGTCACAATCAAAAGTGCCTCACATACTGCCAAGTGTACCCAGAGGGGAAAACTACCCCAGTTAAGAACTACTAGGACATATCAATGGAAGTTGCGTCTGAAATCTCAGTTTTCAATCCTTTCCTGCTAATATTTCTAGATTGTGGGGACCATAATATCCTGGTCATTTTAGTATAGCTGGGAGCAGTGTGAGATGGTACAACTTTCCGGGTAGGAGAGACTCCCTTCACACCCCCTTCCATAGTGTATCCCCTCCAATAGCTGCTCTCACAATAGTGTTCCTCTCTGAGTTCTTAGATGCAAAATGAGACAAAGCAACCCTGGGTGGATTCTAGAAGGTGTATTTTTTTTCTGTGTAGATTTTTCTAACTTCATTTCACTAAGGTTCAAAATCCTCATTCCTTATTTCACCTAACAACTGTATTTGGTGGTGATTTTTCAAGACTGATCAGCTAGTAATCACTGGTAAAAAGGGGGTATTATGAAGCTAGAATATTTCAAGTCTAGCATTATCTTTCAGCATCCAGTGATTAATCTGTTTTATACTCATGTATTGTGATATGGGGTTTCAGTAGTTAGCTAGTTAGAACCAGCCCTAGGCTGAGGTGAGGTATATAGGCGAAGAACTTTGACACCCCTTATAGTAGGAAAAAAGTCTTGCCATCCATGCATGAAAGATTGAACCAGAGTAAAGCTCCTTCCAGGGAGTAGCATATTTGTGCTTTCAAAATAGCAGGATTGTAGTTACCACATTAATTTCACTAAATGATATTTCAAACTTTACTAGATGTTTTTAGTTCCTAATTAAACATCTTTGGCAACATTAAAGAAAAAGTTAAAGTTGATCTTACACATTAAGGTCGCAATTATCTAGGCTCCTTCTTTCCTCTTAGCTATCACAGTTGATTGTCAATGCAGGAGGAGTTGCTGCCATGATTGATTGTATTGGGTCCTGCAAAGGAAATATAAGGCTGCCTGGCATCATGATGCTTGGATATGTTGCGGCTCATTCTGAGAACTTGGCAATGGCGGTGATCATTTCCAAGGTTTGTTCTAGCTTCATTTTCTTCTCGTTATTGCACTGATATATTTCAAGATAAAACCACATTCTAATACTGTCACAAAGTATAATATACACCTGAGCAGAGTGAAAGAATTACCTGAAATTTTTTTTTTCCCAGTGCTTATTGTAGGTTGCAAAAGCTATGCTTAAAATAAGATTTATTCATTTTTTTTAAGATTTATTTATTTATGCATACAAGAGCTGGGGTATAGGCTGGAAATGCGGGCGTGAGAGGATTCACCAGAGACAGAATGGGGAACAGAACAGGCAGATTGACTGAAGCAGGAAAGGTAGAAAACACGGTGGGGGCCAAGGTCTTGGTCACATGAGGAGCAGCGGGTGAGCCAGGAGAGGTCTGCTGCGCCATTGTGGGTTGCTCCTGGGGGATCAGACTACTGCTGCGGGGGCTGTGGATTTCTTCATAGTGCGGTGCTTAACAACTTGCGCCACCAGGGAGGCCCAAAAAAGGTTTATTCTGTGGAAGTTTAAAGTCCCCTCAATATTTGATCTCAATAAAATACCCACTTCCTTGAGTATGAGTGTTATCTATATTTAAATACTAACTATATGTTTAACTTCAAGCACTGTACATATTTACAAACATCTAGAGCATTCCTTAATTTGAAACAACTACTGTAAATGAGGTGCCTGGCAGTCATTTGCATTATTCTTAGAGGTCTACACATGCTTGCCTTCCCTGTCTTGGGTAGGAGATGGCAGTTGTTAGAACATCCCTTTTTCCTGCTTTTCTTCCTAGATGCAAGCAATTCTGAGTGGATGTCAGACAGTAAACACTTTGTTTCTCTAATGTGTGTTTTTTGCCCTATTTTAATTTACAACTTGTATTAACCCAGCATATACTAGATCCCAGGTATATTGTCAGTGCTCAAAAAATATTTGTGGAATGGCTAAATATTGATCTCCTGAAGAATGCTTCATAGGCTGTGTGCTTACAGTGTCTCTTGGAACCCTCTCAAGTATAAGTTTCTTGTCAGCATAGAAACATGCTGTTGCATGTTAAACCCTGTGGACTTCTTTTTTGTCCCTTGCCAGTCCTTGGAAAAAATAGAGGAGTCTCAGATCTTTATTTTCTACCAATTTTTGATACTTCTTTGCTTCACTCCCTTTTTGTCCTGTGCTTTTCCATTTGTTCTTATACTCCCAAATTCCATGTGGTGACAGAGAAGTGGTGCTGCTTTCTGAAGGGTCACTCTAGGGATAGTAGCACGATCTTTGATTCTAGGTTCCTTTGTGGATAGTCAAAAAGCTTACACACAGGAAGAATGATGAAGGAAGCAGCAGTTGCTCTTGCTTCCTATATTTCTTCCCCAAACTAACCAGGAGGAGCCTCCCCTGCTTTGTCTAAGGTTGCTCCATTAATCCTTACACATTGTCCATCTCTATCTTGTTGCCTTTATAAGCTGGAAGTCTATTTGATCAAATATAAGTATGGCTGTTCCTGCCTTAAATTTTTTTTAATATATCATTTACTTGTAGGGTTGTTTTACACCCATTTATTTTGAGTCTGTGTTTCTCTCTGGTGTTCAGGTGGGTTTCCTATTACGGTAGTAATTTGGGTTTTGTTTTCTGAGCAACAAGCTCCTCTGTCCCTTTAGATTGGTGAGTTCAGTACATTTACATTTAATGTGATCATTAGTATAAGAGGGTTTGCTACTACCATTTTATCTTTAGTTTTCTGGTTCTTTTGTTTCCTTGCTCAGTTTATTTGATGAATTCTATTACCTTCATATTAGATAGGAGAGCTCCTTCCAACTCCTCTTGTCGGGAGTTCTAGTGTTAGCAAACTCATCAGCTTCTGTTTCTTTGGGATGGCCTTTATTTCCTTCTCATATCTGAGGAAGAGTCTTGCAGGATATATTATTGACTGGCAATTTTTATCTTTACATATTTTGAATATGTCAATTAGTTCTCTCCTTGCACATAGAGTTTGCTCAAAGAAATCAGAAGTACAGAGAAACTGGGGGCTCCCAGCTATGGGAGCCTATGGTAATACATTTATAGGTTATCTGTTTTTTCCTCCCCTAGCAACTCTGAATATATTTTATTTGTCTTGAATGCTTCATAGTTTCACAACTAAGAATCTTGATATAAGTCTCATTATCTTTAGATAACCAAGTGTTCTTTTAGCTTCGTGGACTTGTATATTTAGTTTCTTCCCCTGGTTTGAGAAGTTTTCCTCTATTATTTCTTTGAATAAGTTTTCTGTTCCCTTCTCTCTCTCTCTCTCTCTCTCTCTCTCTCTCTCTCTCTCTCTCTCTCTGTGTGTGTGTGTGTGTGTGTGCACGCGCGTGTGTCTCTGTCTCTCTCTTCTTGGATACTCATTACTTTATGTTGCTTTTCCTAGTAGAGTTAGATAGTTATTTGAGTGTTTCTTCATTTTTTCCCCTTGTATTTCTTTATCCACCTGGGTCCTTTGTACTTTATTATCTTTAAGGTCATTGATTCAGTCCTACAGTGGTCTAATTTTCCATAGCTTTTTTTGTAGAATATTTTTTTATCTGCTCTATTGACATTTTTACATGCCACAACTCCCTTATTTTCTGTTCTTTAATTTTATTTCTCATACTAATTTTTAAATGATTTTTCTTATATCTCCTTGATTTTCTTTTCAGAGTTCTTTTTTATCATTTGCCTTGGTTTTCTGTAGTTCCTTCATTTTCTTTGAATTTCATTATCATGACCATTTCGAACTCTATCAGATAGGAAGAAAAAATCTTCCATATTTTTGTGTTTGGATTCTGGAGATTTGTTCTCTTGTATTGTAGTATTCCCTAGTGTTATCAAAAATGCCATGTGTTTGTATTTTTTTTGGTCTGCATATTTTGCTGATTTAGATTTTAGAGATTTGAACTACTTATACCTCTCCAGCAGATGAGCTGTAATTTTTATTATTTTGGATTTGTCTTTCTCTGGCTTCTATGGGTCTGAGACTTGTACTGACAGCTTCAGAATCAGTGGGTAGGGGTTTAGATTGCTCAAGACCCAGTTGTGAACGAATGCAGGTGTGCGTAGGCCTGTGTTTGTGGTGCCACCAACAGCCCTGCTTTCTGGGTTTCCAGACCTGAGTCTCTGCTGTCTCTGCACATTCTCAGTGAGACTCACAAGGTCTCCACTAGGCCCGAAGAGTATGGGAGGGCCTCAGTGTACTCTACTTTTTCCTTTCTCTGGGGACCTGATCTGCTGGGGCACCCAGCTTGTCTGTACATATTTTCCCTCAGTGAAGGGTCTGTATGTACAATTGTTCAGTTCTTTCCTCCCCAGGGCCTCTGGCCTAGCAGCCCCCCACCCCCATATATAGCTCCAAACATCATTTCCACCCACCTTTTCTTCTCAGGAGATAGAATCTCCCCCATGTCTCTTCTTGTACAATCTGCCTGGTCTCTGAAGTACAACAGCTGTTCTAGTATAACCTCAAGCTATGGAACTCTCTGGGTACAGTATTCCTTAGTTAAAGTAGATGATCCTTTGGGGAGCAAAGCAGGGGACTTCTTCTGATACCATCTTGGACTTTTTTTTTCTATTTAAAATTCTTGCCCAAATAACTCATTTGCTTTTGGATCTATAGTAGTTACTTTGTTCCCGGGTCTATTATACTTGGAGAAGAGGCAATTTTTAGGGATTCTATATTAACTTTTTTAACAAAGAGAAATAAAAAGCTTTGAAATCCTAAGTATTTTGAATTTGTCAAGGTGGAATCTAGGCCTATAGCCTAGTCTGTGGCATCTGTTGTTTCGTTAAATTCCTCTCTAATTGGTGGTCAAGGTGGAATCTAGGCCTATAGCCTAGTCTGTGGCATCTGTTGTTTCGTTAAATTCCTCTCTAATTGGTGAGTAAACACGAGCAAATATATGCTTTGTTTAGTTGGATTGTTACACATAATTAAGGTAAATTAGTTCTAGTCATTTTCTTGACTTGAAATATGACAGTTCCTGTGATGTACTCATTTATGCAAAATTAGAAGGAACTCTAATGTTTGAAGGACATGGAAGACTCTTTTATCCTGCTTTAGATTCATAACACTTCATCTTTTGATCATTGCTGCAGGGTGTGCCCCAGTTGTCAGTATGCTTGTCAGAAGAACCAGAAAATCATATTAAGGCTGCTGCTGCTTGGGCCTTGGGACAAATTGGGAGACATACTCCGGAACATGCACGAGCTGTTGCAGTTTCTAATACTCTGCCAGTTCTGCTTTCTTTGTACATGTCAAGAGATAGTTCTGAGGATCTTCAAATAAAAGTAAGTGTTTTAATTCTCAACTGTTTCATAAAGATCTGTTAGATTTTGCCTCATTATTTAACATGTAATTTAAACTGATTTAATTTTTATTATAGACAATATTGCACTTAATGAGTCAAGAAATATAAATTCCTCAAAAGAATTGAGATTACTCTTCTTTGATAATGGGTTATCTGTGTCTATAAAAATCAGTGATATATACTTATATGTGTATATATTATTGTGGTAACATTGTTTTACAATACTGTGTACGATTAAGAGTTATAGGAGCTCTCCCTCTCACCCATCACCAAAACACACATAGTCCACTATGCTTCCGTCCCGATTTGCTCTCTCCCCTCTTTTGCTCTTGTAGCCTCAGTTACACAATCAGATTTCTAGGTTGTTTTTTTTTTAAATTGATTTGGCTTTATCCGACACTTTGGTTTCTCTATATTCCAGATGTATGTGTTATTTTAGGTTGTACATCCATGTCTTTAGTCTAATTCGAGCTAATTTTTATTTATGCTGTGAATAGTGGTTTAGTTTCATTCTTTTTTATTTATGTTTTTTTTTAAGATTTATTTATTTATACATTCAAGAACTGGGGTACAGGCCAGAGATCAGGGGAGGGGGTTGGAGAGGATTCACCAGAGCCAGAGCAGGGAACAGAACAGGCAGACTGACTGAAATACATTGCTGAGGGGAGCAGTGGGCTAGCCAGGAGAGGTCTGCTGTGCCATGTGGGTCACCTCACTGGTCGGGGATCGAACTCGCACTGCAGTGGCTGTGGATAGCCTTATTGGTTGCGTTTTAACCCCTTGCACCACCAGGGAGGCCTTCTTTCTTTTTTTTAATGTATCCTTCCAGTTTTCCTAGCACCATTTATTAAAAGGACTTATCTTTCCCCATTGTATGCTCTTGGCTTGTTTGTCATGAAATAACTGTCCATAGAAATGTGGTTTTATTTCCTGGTTCTCAGTTCTATTGCATTGATCTGTGTGTCTCTTGGCATTCCAGTGATGTACTGGTTTGATCACTACAGTTTTGTAGTGTAGTGTGATATATAGGAGTGTGATACTTGTGTTCTTTTTTTCTTTTTGTCAGTATTGCTTTCGTTATTTGGATCTTTTATGGTTCCTTATTAACTTTAGTAATATTTATTGTTGTTATTTGAAGAATATCATTGAATCTTTACTAGGGATTGCATTGAATTCAAATATTGCTTTGGGTAAGATAGACTTTTTACCAATGTTAAGTCTTTGAATCTACAAAAAGGGATTCCCTTTTTATTTCTTTGTGTCTTCTATTTCTTTTGACAATGTCTTATAGTTTTTGTTTTACAGTTCTTTCACCTGCTTAAGTTTCTTCCTACATATCTTTTTTTGCGATTATGAGTGGGACTGTTTTCTTGATTTCTTTCTCTTCTAGTTAGTTTTTTGCATGTAGAAATGCAACTGATTTCTGTTAATAGATTTTGTACCCTGCCACTTTATGTATTATTATTTCAATTAGTTTAATGGAGACTTCAAGGTTTTCTGTGTACATTATGTCATCTGCAAATAGTGACAGCTTTACCTCTTCTTTTCCAATTTGTATTCCTTTTATATCTTTCTCTTGCCTAATTCCTCTAGCTAGGACTTCCAATACCATGTTGGATAGTTAACAGTGAAGGTATACATCCTTGTTGTAACTGTTCTTTTAGAGGAAAAGTTTTGAGTTTTTCACCATTGAGTATCTTAGCTGTGGGTTTGTAATCTGGTTGATCTGATTGATGTAAGTGGGGCACTGAAGTTTCCCACTTTTATTTTGTTGTAAATGTTTCTAAGTTACTGTTACAAATATTTAAAATAGGTGAACTTAAAGTAGCAAAATAGGTAGAAGAGTAGTACAATTCATGGCAACTCTAGATCTCAAGGAAATAGGACATCACAAGGAAAAAATAGTGAAAACTTCACATATTGTAGGATTATATTTGTATGAATTGTTGAGAAATGTCAAATTTATAGAGACATCAAGTGTATTAGGGGAACTTCCATTCTCCCACTCTTGCTCCCAAGCTCAGTGTGGACAGCTATATAGCATGAACAGGTGGTGCCACCATATGAAATGGAATCCTACTTGTGGACAACCCCTGTGGCCTGAGCCTTCTGACTAGTACTTCAAACAGAGGCAGAAGAATTACACAGAGAAGGAGATCTTACTTTGCAGGGCCAAGCAATTAGTGATGTTTCTGTCCAGAGTGAACAAGATCTGGGGATACTACCTCTTCCAGAAGCTGTCTAAGATTGAGATGTTGGAAGTTTACTTAAAAAAAAAAAAAAAAAGACATGAGGGCCTCCCTGGTGGCACAAGGAGTTAAGATGCAATCTATGAAGCTGTCCGCAGCCACTGCAGCATGAGTTCAATCCCTGGCCAGGGAGTGGTCCAGAGGACCTCTCCTGACTCGTCCACTGCTCCCCTCAGTAGTGTATTTCCATCGATCTGCCTGTTCTGTTCCCTACTCTGTTTCTGGTGAGTCCTCTCACCTCCCGCATCTCTGGCCTGTACCCCAATTCTTGTATGCATAAATAAATAAATCTTTAAAAAAAAGTCATGAGCTGAGTTGAACTGAGAGGTAATGTATAGCAGAAGAATGAACAGGAGAATCTAGGACATAGAAGCAAGTCACACTAGTCCTTTCATGACCATTCCATTTGCCTTCTTTCCCAGCTTTACTTCCTAATATGCATATGTGAAACACAGATAATGAATAAACCTCTGGGGATGGTGTCACTTGAGGATGTGACTGAGGATTTCACCTTGGAAGAGTGGTAGGACCTAGATGATGCTCAGTGGACTTATACTGGTACATGATGCTAGAGACCTAGAATAGCCTTGTCATGGGGACATTGCATTACCAAACCTAAGGTGATCATCACTTTGGAGCAAAGAACAGAGCCATAGACTGTAGAAGTACCCCCAAACCAGAGCCTCTCAGATATCCAGATTCTGGATGTTCTGATTGAGATGAACCAGGAAGATCAGGGTGTGCATTTGTGCCAAGTGAACATTGTCTAAGGGAAGAACTGACTTTCATAAAACATTCAATTTGAGCTCGATTCATATTTCAAACCTGATTATAAATAATGGAATCCATTTGAAAACAATGTAGAAGAGCAGTTGCTTGGGGCTGCTGGGGTAAGTGGAGGGAGGAGATAGGGATTGACTTATAAATGGGTATGAGGTTTGCTTTTGGAGTGATGAAATGCTCTAAAATTACACTGTAGTGATGGTTACACAGTTTTTGTAAATTTACTTAAAATCCATTGAATTGGGCACTTACAATGAATGAATTCATGACATGTAAATTATATCTCAATTAAGTTGTTAATAATTCTTAAGTCCAGAAATTGACAAGTAATTAACTGCTATCCTAATATTTCTTTCATTCTGGTTAATACAGTTAATAATTAACCATGACATACATTCTAAAAGTATAGACTTGTGAACTGAATATATTTCCTGAGAAGGATAGTAAACTCAATGAGTTTCTGTTGTAATCAGATTCTTTTCTAGGGTTCATGATTAATAACTTGATAGTACATCACCAACTTGGAACTGTTAGAATTAGACTAAGGCTGGCTGCCTGGTACAGTGGATGTGATCTCTGCTATACTGTTAGCAGACTCTGACACCCACAGAAGTTAAGTTAAATTGATTGGCCTGCTAAGATCACGATGATCCTAGGATGGTTCACAAAAGCATAACTAGGTGTTTTGAGAATCAAGAGTTTTATTCCAACTTATATTCCTATGGGGGAGCAATTGGACTGCATTTCTTTTCTTTTTTAAATGATTTTATTTATTTATACAAACACTGGGGTGCAGGCCAGAGGTGCAGGAGGGTGAGAGAATCCACCAGAGACAGAGCAGGTAGCAGAACAGGCAGAAGGACTGAAATACACTGCTGAGGGGAGCAGTGGGCGTGACAGGAGAGGTCTGCCTCACCATGTGGGAATCGCCCTGGCTGGCTGGGAATCGAACCGGTGCCATGGAGGCTTCAGACAGCTTCACAGTGCTGTGCTCAACCCGCTGAGCCACTGGGGAGACCCATGGCTGTATTTCTTATATTCCTTTTATTTAACTAGTTTATAAAACAATGTTTGAGTATCAATGTGTTAAAATAAGAGGGTACACAAAACTATAGCTGGGTCTCTGTGAAACCATAAATTCAAGAAATCCTTTACTGATAGCACCAATGAGTTTTGGTCAAATCATTTACCAATTGTAAACTTCATGATGTAGATATCAGCCTGTTCCTTGACATTCCAGGAACATTGCTAAATATTCAGAAGCAGGATCTCAGAAGACGAGGTGGGGTAAGCAGAGAGTATAAGTAATTAGACGTAAGGCAATAAGGATGCATTAGAGGATAAAACCACATAACAAGCAGATGTGGAATTCTAGAGGGAAGCAATTATAGACAAACCCAATTGTGAAATTTTCCAAAGTGCAGGGGGCAGCCTTTAATACAAAGAAACAAATAACAAACAGCCATGGCCTTAGAACTGGTTATAGTGATACACATCAGGACCCTTTTCCAGCCATACTTGTATTAGAGGCACTACATTGTGTGTCACTGTGAAACACACAAGAATGCTGGGGGATGGTGAGAAAGGTACCTGTGCTTTTGCTTGTAGGTGATATATTTCTTATTGTTGAATGGAGTTTTATTCGACAGTTGAATAAATCCTGTCTGTTTTGCTTTTGTCTGTAAATGGGGCAATTTCTAGCCATGAACTATGTACACGGTAGACTATTTCTACCTGCATACTTTATAGCCATGAAACTTTCTGGAGAACACAGCGTTGCCTGATATTGACTTTCTACAATAAACTAAATACTTTCTTGTATTTATTGGTTGGAAGCATTAGTGCATTATATGATACTTATTATGTTTTATACTAATAAAGTGTACTTATTAATTTACATGCTACGGTTTTGCATTTTATCATTTTAATTTGCTTGCTGGTATTTTAAGAGCGCAACAGTACTTTGTATATTTTAAAATTTAACATGAAGACAGCTGGAGGGTATTGTACCAATGAAACAGATGTTTTTTTGATAATTTTTTTAAATCCTTTTTTTTAAGACAAATATTTTTTAAAATGAAACATCAGATTAGATTACCAAATAGCTTTCAGGAACATGAGACATGAATTTTTGCAAAGTTTTCATTGATTACTTACTTTGGTATATGTTTTTCTTTGTATTTTCAATAGAGTAAAAAGGCCATAAAGAATATCCTACAAAAATGTACCTATTTACCAGCACTTGAGCCATTTCTGTATGATGCTCCTCCCAATATTCTGAAACATGTGGTTGGACAGTTCAGCAAGGTAACAAATGTTCTCTTAACCTGGAAATGGGGGGAGAAAGTGAAATGAGTTATTTACTTATTTTTTCTGTTCCATAGGATGGGGCAGGGTTTTACTTCTTAATTCTCCTGATTATGTTGACACGGAAAGTAACCGAGGTTAATAAAATTTACATGTTAATAAAATCTACACATAAATCAATCACACTTTTTCTTCCTCATATTTTCCTTACTGCCTCTGCACTGTCTTTTTCAGTGTTCTTAGGGAGTAAGTAGTATGTTAACTTATTAGGACCTCAAAATACAGATAATTAATATTAGTAAGAAACTTAGTAATTTTACTGGTGTCTGTTAGTCTCACTCATCTGGTAACACTGTAAAGGTCTTGTAAAAAAAAGGAAACATTGTCTCCGAGCCACTGAAATACTTTCAATGAAGTCCATACACTTTACTGGAGATGCACTCAGACAGTCATTTGAAGTACATTGACTTAAGAGCAGTTTTAGCAAATATAGCTGCCATATTATTGTAGATCTTTGGCTATTAGAAGTAGTAAGGTAAAAAGATGAAGCTACTAGGTGTGGGCACAGCCAGCAGGATTGTCTACTGATGGTCAAGTTTAAAAGAGAATAGCTATGAATGGCCAGGATGGTGAGCCTAAGTTATCAGGAAGTGGTTATATTGTCCTCAGCCGATCTGATTGAAGAAAATCGGGTCTAAGTAGTATCCCTTACTGCCTGGATTTACATTTACTGGCTGCAATATGTTCAGCAGTCTTTTTTTTTTTTTTTAAAGATTTATTTATTTATGTATACAAGTACTGGGGTGTAGGCCAGAGGAGTGTATGTGGGGATGGGGGGTAACAGGATTCACTAGAGACAGAGTGGGGAGCAGAACAGTCAGATCCATTGAAATGCACTGCTGAGGGGAGAAGCGGGTTCGACAGGAGAGGTCTGCTGACCCATGTGGGTTAGCTCCCTGGCTGGGATAGAACTCATGCTGCAGTGGCTGCTGATAGCTTGATAGCACCTTGTTTTTAACCCCTGCACCACCAGGGAGGCCCTGTTTAGCAAAGTCTTCACCTTTCTAAACCTAGTATCATTATACATAAAGTGGTGATTATAAAAGTATTATTTCATAGGGTTATTGCCAAGATTAAATGAGATGTTATTTAAATGTTGGATACATATTAGACACTCAAATATTCCCCCACTTAAGTAACTCATAAACCCCCATAAAGTTGTTTTTAAGAAATAAAACATTGAAGTGGTTAACACTGATTTTTAAAAATTAATAAAAATAAATGAGAGTCGGCCTCCCCGGTGGCGCAGCGGTTGAGCACTGGGTTGCGCAGCTGCCTGCAGCCTCTGCAGCACCGGTTAGATCCCCGGTCACTGGGCGAGGGTCCCACATGGCACACAGACCTCTCCTGCCGCCCGCTGCTCCCCTTAGCAGTGCATTTCATCCGTCTGCCTGTTCTGCTCCCTGCTCTGGCTCTGGTGAATTCTCTCACCCTCCTGCACTTCTGACTGTACCCAGTGCTTTTATAAATAAATAAATCAATCTTAAAAAAAAATTAAAAAAGCATAAAAATAAAACTTAAAAAAATAAATGAGAGTCAAATTATTTGAATAGTTATAATGTTACATAAAGGGATTTATTTGATGTTTGAATATGATATGTCTGCAAAAAAAAAAAAAAAAGAAAAACAACTATATAGCATTATGTCAGTTAAGTAGGTCTAGTTTTAGGTACTCATCTGAAAGATAGATTAAGAGCCATTGGTTTGGGCCTCCCTGGTGGTGCAGTGGGTTGAACGCTGCACTGTGAAGCTGTCCGCAGCCTCTGCAGCGTGGGTTTGATTCCGGCCAGCCAGCGAGAATCCCACATGGCGAAGCAGACCTCTCCTGTCTCACCCGCTACTCCCCTCAGCAGTGTATTTCATTAGTCTACCTGTTCTGTTCCCTGCTCTGTCTCTGGTGAATCCTCTCACCCTCCCCTGTATCCTCTCACCCTCCCCTGTATCCCCTGTTCTTGTATAAATAAATAAATGTTAAGAAAAAAAAAGGAGCTATTGGTTCCTGAACACCTTTCATCATTTCCAAAAGCTTGGTTGATACTCAAACACATTAGCTGTTAGATTTTACATTGCTGAAGCCATCTCAGGATACAATTCTTTGACTCAAACTCCTATGTCCTGTCTTCTTCCTTCTATGACAATAAACTCTTTTTCCTCCTAGTTATATGAAATGTGGGAGATTGAATAGCAATGCCCCTTTGAGAAACCAAATAACCAAAAAATCCTGAAAAATGACTAAATTATGGTACAGAGGAAATTGATCTACATCTTCATTTTTGTGTGCTTTGGGGTGCTAAGTAACAAAGTAACCAGTTAATTTGATTAGCTAAGAGGAAGGGCGAGTAAGGGAGCTGATTGGTCTTCCATAGACCAAGTCATCAGTTCCTAATAAGAAGTTGACATTATTTATGACTTTCACTTTGTAGTTTAATCTTTTAGACTACAGAATAAGGTATTCTAGTTTTACTAAACTTGCTATACTAACCTGTATTTAGAGTTCAGAGTGACTTGCTAAAGTAAATAAAATTAACTCAGTGGGATTTGTGGAAGTTAGACAATCAGGATGAAATAAAGTCAGTACCTCATAACATATTCTATATAAGTATGTTCAGGAATATTTGCCTTAGGCAGAACTTTGTGTTTTCTTAATCTAAGTGAATCAGAGCACTAGAAAGAGATGGAAAAGCAAGGCAGAAGTTAAAAAAAGGCACTAGAGAAATGAATTAATGAGTAGTTCACTGCCCTCAATGATATTTATGTGTGACAGACATATAAACTGATCATTTAAATATTGCACCAATAGGGTTTAAAGAGAATGCTAGGAGAGAAGAAAAGTATCTAACTTATGCTGGGATAAGAGGCTAGGGGTGCCCGAGAGAAGTCTTACCAGAGGTAGTATCTGAGCTGAGTCTTAAAACATGAATAAGAGTTAGCCAAGCAAATTAGGGGAAGTGTGTGAAGAGTGGGAGGTCATTCTAGGAAGAGGAAAGCATGGACAAAGGCAAGAACTATCCAAGCACACACCCTTTAAGGTCACTGAAACATAATTTAGACTAGGAATTGGTGGGAAGGGAAACTAGAGAAGTATTTAGAAGCTGGACTTATAGAAGGTTCTGTGTGCCTTGACAAGGAGCTTGCCTTTAATTTTTTAGGTAGTAGAGAGACCTTGAATGGGTATAAGTAAAGGAGGACTCAATTTACAGTTTATATACATATCTGAGGGATCTCCTTTGTTCATGTTCATTGCCTTTATCTCCATAACATAAAAAGCGTCATTTCTAAAAAGACTGCTGATGATTTCCAATCATCAGCAAATTTAGACTTATTATATTATAGGTATATTGGAAATATGTTCTCTTTTACATTTACATTTCCTCAGAAATATTACTACTTTTCAGTATCAGTAATCTATCTTGAAAAAAGAAAAGCTGACATTATAATGTGCTTCCCCTTTCAAGGTGCTGCCACATGACAGCAAAGCTCGAAGACTCTTTGTAATAAGTGGTGGACTTAAAAAGGTTCAAGAGATAAAAGCAGAACCTGGGTCTCTCCTTCAGGAATACATCAATAGTATTAACAATTGTTACCCAGAGGAAATAGTAAGGTGGGAAAAATAGATCTTGAGAAGCTCAAAATGATAATGTATTTTTCTGTTTTCAAATTTAGATTTTATATATACTTTGCCAAAATGTGTACTTTTTAATACTACATGAGAATAACATATACCTTTACTTCTCCCTGTTTTTCTTTCCCCTCAGACACATTCTTTTCCAAATCAGACTAGAATGTCATTTGAGACATTTCTGTACTAATTTTTAGCGCATGCTTTACTAAAGAGTACCCCAAATGCAAAATTGTTTTATTAACAATTTTTACTGGGAACCTGACTTAGAAGGGGTTAGTAGATTGACTTTCATAAAATAATCCTTGTGTATTATTTTTCTGCCTAAAGCTCACATTTATAGTAATGGGAGTATCACATATGTGGGAAAAAAAAGTTGAGAGGTGGAAAAATGTTACTATCTATAATGTAAAGGTGCCACTCTATTTTGACTGGTGAATTCAGGCCATTCACATTTAATGTGATTATTAAGATATAAACACTCATTGCCATTTTGTTATATTTTTATTTAGGGTGGGTTGTCTTGTCTTTTATATGTTTTTTGATCTACCTGTTTTTTTTTTTAATGTTACTTCTGTTAATTTTTGTTTGAGTTTCTCCTGAGATTAACACATGATGGGCTATTTGTGTGACCTAATGGAAGGCTAGTCTCTGACTTGAGCGAATGGTCATTTTGTTACTCTCTCCCTTTTTCTTCATGTTAAGTGATTCACATGTCAGTTGCCTCTATATTCATTACAATGTTGCTTTATAATAACCCCTTCAAAATTTCTTTAATGTGTGGCTTGGTGTTAACAAATTCTTTTAGTTTTTGCTTTTCAGTGAAGCTTCTTACTCTCCCTTTTGTCTTGAATGTTAATCTTGCTGGGAAGGATTCCAGGCTAGAAGTCTTTCCTTCAAGTGCTTTAAATATCTCCTCCCATTCCATTTGTGCTTACAATGTTTCTATGTAAAAGTCTGCAGACAATCTGACCACTGTTGCCTTATAGGTTACCCTTTTTCACTCTTGATGTTTTTAATAGTCTATCCTTGTTGTTGGCTTTCGGTAGCTTTATTATAATATGTCTTGGTGTATGTGTGTTGGGTATTAATTAGTTTGGAATTCTTTGGGCCTCTCGGGTCATAACTTCTGTTCAATGAATATTAGGTTACATCTGGAACAAACACCTTAGGGGGGAGGCTTAATTATTGTGAATGTTTTAGAAATTTTAAATACACTCAGATTTTTTATGCATTTATTATATTGTAGGATGTTTGCCAAATTTTGATATGCTTTCATATGAATATAAATTCTTTTCATGATATGTGAAGCACTGTTTTTATACTAAATCTTTTATAAAATATTCAATTCATAAATATTAATTTATAGTACTACAGATGCCCATCAACCAATGAAAATTATTAGTATGCTATGTTTACATGATGAAGTATTGTTAAACCATTTATTAGTTATTTAATGTGAATTATACTCCCCAAAATTTTTATTTTTACTGGCAACCAGATATGATTAAAATATACATTGAGAATAATCTCTAAGGCAATCTGTATGTAGGAGTTGATTAGTAATAATAGACTGTTGTCTAATTATGAAAAAAAGTCCCTTATCTATGATCATTAAAGTAAACATCAGTCACTTGACATAATGAAAACAAAATCTACATAACAGATTACTATCACTGGGCCCAAGTATCTTACTTTCTTTACCATTGCATTGATATCCGTTATATGTTTGTTATTATTTTAGCATAGTCTTTTCAGTTTGAGTTCAGGGTGTATTTGAGATTTCACTCATTGAATCATTTCAGATAAATGTGTTTCATTGAATCTTTTGTGCATCCTCTGCTGAATCTTTTCATTAAAATCTGACAGAAAATTTTCTTTTGCAGGTACTATTCCCCTGGATATTCAGATACTCTTCTTCAGAGAGTAGACAGCTATCAACCACTTACTAACTAAATGAAACTATGTTTTTCTACTTGAATTCTCAGCAGAGTATTTATGAATAATAGTTGTTAAAGCTCTTTCTAAATATATGAACTAAGTACATTCTAGATTAATTCAATGTGAAATGCCTTTTTAATAATACTTTCTAAATTTATCTAATTCTTAAAAAATAGTAGCTTGCATCTATTGAAGAACTATTCTTGATCATTTGCATAGAATTTGCTCAATAGGTAGATCTTAAGAAGATATTAAAGGGTTTAAAGGCATCTGAAATTCCTATATTAAAGTACACACAAAGAAACATAGAGCCTTCCAGCTAGGTATAGATGAAAAATAGTGTTCAAAAGTTCATATTAGTTATTTAGGCCAGTTCCTCATAGACAAAGGCAGGGAAAACACAGTAGGCAATAAAAGGGAAACAGATAATAGAGGAAACTAATGGCAGAAATGCAGAGCACGTGAGACTTCAATGCTGGTTACATAAATGCAGTAACCTAACACACAGAATCTATGTACAAGCTGTCAGGTTTTCCTAAGAACTTTGGAAGCTCTCCTCTTCTGCCAAGTTTTCTAAGATCTTTTCTCTCCCTACCTAAACTGTTCCTTGCCTTTTATGGATGGACAAAGGTAGAAGTAAATATTAAGCATTGTAGTACTGCAGACATGCTTTCCTTTTTCATTTAAAGTTTTCTTAGTCTAGTTTTGCTCACAAACAAGGAACCAGGAATGTAAATGGGTCCTTAGTATTCCCTTGTCCTACCTTCACCTTCACAAATTTCAAAAGTCACATTTTCTGAAATTCAATTTGAAATGAATTTATAATTTGAAATGAATATCATGAGGGTCAGACTTAATATACATTATCATCTAGGGAGCTGAAAGGGGGTGAGGAGAAATTTAAATAAAATTTTGAATAAAAACATTAGAATTGTCCTTTTTGTCCTGTCTAGTATGTTTCTGACCTTGGGAAATGTAATTAGACTTAGGAGTCTTGGGTAGGTGGCAAATGTTATCTTCTGATCTAAAGGGCCATTCTTTACAGTGACTCCCCTGGAGGCCTAGAGAGTAGGTGTATAATAACCAGAGAGCCCATAGGCTACAGCATTTCCAATGTGGTCAGCTTTCAGTATTCTTTCTTAGACTCTTCCCCCACACTCCCCAAAAGGAACCTACACATTTATTTTTGGCATTTTCTCCATTTATCTCATCTCTGGCATCATCTCCTAACATTGTATCACTTTATTGCATTTTTTTTAAAGATTAATTTTTATTTATGCACACAAGAACTGGGGTGTAGGCCAAAGGTACAAGGGGTAAGAGAATTCACCAGATTCAGAGTGGGGAGCAGAACAGGCAGATCCACTGAAATATACCGCTAAGGGGAGCAGTGGGCAAGACAGGAGAGGTCTGCTGAACCATGAGGGTCAGCTCCCTGGCCAGAGTTCAAACTCATGCTGGCGATAGCTTGATAGCATTTAGACTTTAACCCCTATGCCACCAAGGAGGCCCCCACTTTGTTGCACCTTTTTAAACTTCATTATGCCCAGTACTGTCCCAATTATTTTTGCCTGTATTAGTCTAGGAGAGTTTATGGTTTGACTTTTGAAAACTTCCTTGGCTTTACTTTGTTTCCTTGCAGTAACTGCTTTGACTCATTGGATAAGAAAATGTAATTTATACTTCCAATTTTTCAGCTTTCTTTCCACCTGCCTGCCCAACTTGTCTTATGACCACCTTTCAACAATTTGAGAAAATAAAAAGATTGTTTTCATATTTCTTCATAAGGGCCATTTTGTTAAAGGCAGAAATGAGTCCATCTGGGATAAAACCTCCTTAGATATCCTGTATATGGTCAATTTCCCATTATGAATTTCTTGCCATTTTATATTTACTTGAAGTTTTCCACATCATATATTATTTCATATTTATCAAATAGTATTAAGCTAAAAAGTGATAAAATATTTAATAGTGTTTGCATGGGTTGCTATAAATTTGATTATATGTAATTTGGAAAATTTATGCTATGAAATGTTTCTTGACATTAAATACTTAGAGCAAAAGGAAACGATTTTTTAAAAACACACACACAAAATTTTCTATTTGTGTTGGAGCAAAAGTAGTATTTCTCAATTATGGCATTCTTTTATATTTTCACTGTTGGAACCATCAATTCTAATTCCTTGGGCATAGTGACCCCTGCCTCCTCCAGCTTATTTAAAATTCAACTACCATTAGAATATCTCAGTTTTATAAACTATTTTTAGAACTTCAAGAATAGAATTGGTTGAATCTCATTGGTTGAATCTAATTATTAATGATTCAGTTCACCTATTGTAAAAATGTATATTGGTAGTTTGGGAAAAGAGATGTTGGAAAATCTGGTTTCTAGCTGTATCTGTTAAATAGTCTTACTCAGCTTACTCATAAGGTACTTATGAAAATAACCTGCAATGATGCATTTAACAATTTCATAAATTGTTCCATTTTGTGTAAACTAACATGTGATTTATGGACATTCTGACAGATTACATATCTTTGCCAGCTATTGGGCAGAACAGGCCCATGTGACACAGATAGTTTATGATAAAGGCAACATTCCCTGCCCTCAAGGAGTTTTCCAATATGAACAAAATTGCTCCAGACACAGGGAATAAGATAGGCACAAGACATTGAACACAAAACAGGTGTATTTCATTTAGTATGTAAAAACAAATGACAACCTCATTTTTATAGGCGGTTGAATTGTTTTTCTAACCTTTTCCTTTCAAACCACCCCTTTAAAGGAAGGATTAAAGACTTGTTTCTAAGTTTGAGTTGAGGTACTTCTTAATATAAACCCTGACCTTAAATTCCTGGGTGAGGCTATCTCCTGCCTAAGATGTCAAGCTTAGATACTAACCTTGAAAGAATGAAGGAGATTTGCCTGTTGTGTTTTCAAATTGCCAAATCTTTAATTAAGTTAGGTGCTGGCAAATGCTGAGGTTTATTACACTGTGGCTTATTTTGTCATAGAATTCACTGTCTGGAAAATATTGGTAGCTATTCTCTCTCAGGGATTAAAAGATCAATTGATCGCCTGTAAATATCCACTACTGTATTTACCAGTTGGTTAAGGAACTTTGGTTTTTAAAAATTTGACTTCTATGCAATTATTTTTCTAGTAACATGAATAATCAAGTTTCATTTTTAAGAGGTCTTAGCAGGTCAAAAATTTAGACATATATTCAATGATACTGCTTTAAACAATGGTGAGTTTAACTGTATTTGTAAAATGCAATAAGATTTTTAAAAATTTAGGCAATATATGTAAGGATATAGAAGACAGTAAAAACATCACTACATATATCACAGCCTACCAAATAACTGTCCTCAACAAAATAACATAATTCCAAATACCTCTCTGAAACTTGTAAAGTAAAAAAAAATCTAAAAAGTAAATTCATGGTTTACTTGCTGTTTTATAATAAAAAAGAAAAAGTTAAAGCAGTTCATTTCATGGAAGATAGAGTTTTGCTTTTTTTGTTCACAATTATTATTTCAGTAGGTTTAGGGAAAAGATATCCTCAGTGATAAAATATAAAATATTTATAGATGGTGTCCTTTTCTTAATGATTGACTAGTATTTGCCATAGAGAGTTTAAACTGTTAATTGTGTCTTCTCAGTTTTACAACAATGAATCAAGGATATTATATATTATACTATGTCATTTATATTATATTAAATGAAGCCTCTAATTTCCTTATGTATATAAAATTTATGGTAATGCACTATTACTAAAATTTATACTAAAGTATAGTGTGTACATTACTGACGGTGTTTATTCAAAGTATTTTTGAATATAAAGAACTCTGAGAACTATATAACCTATATCAAGTTCTTTTGTTTTTAAATTTCGATAGCATGTATAGTTTAAATCATATATATGTAAATAAAAAACCAAAGGGAATTACATCATTCTCCTATTTTTCCCACTAACTCAATATAACCTTTTTTTTATAGCTGAGTGAAATGTGCCTTGTCTCATTCAGTTCCCAGTGATACCAGCACAATCTCAACATACAATGGAACTGGCAGCAGGCTGGCTTGAGCGTCAGGGCAGCTGGGCTCTCTGTGTTAAGTCTCTGGGACTTGGGGTTCTGAATGAGCAATGGTTAGTGCAGAAGGGCATAGGCTCTAGAGTTAGGGATCCACATTACTATCTCCAAACTACTACAAACTAACTCTGTGCCTCTGACAAGTTATTAATAGCACTCATTTCATAGGATCCTAATGATTAAACAAGGGTTAGTGAGCACAAGATCTGGCATATAGTGAGAAGTGCCGCCACTAGCCTGTATATCTTTGTGTAACTAGAAAAAGGCACACAGTCTGGAAGTCACTTTACTTCCATCTAGCAGAAATTGTTGTAATATTATGATTTGGGTAGAACAAGACGCTTTACTGCCACCTGCTGGAAAATTCCTTTGATGAATACGCAAATCATTATGTCTATACTTGAACCACCCCCTTTCAAGTGCTGGTGCTCACTTTGAGGGTTTCTAGACCTCAGTGCAAGTTTCAGATCTGGAACTCATTCACTTAAGACTGAAGATGGAGCCTGAAACACTTCAATAAGTGTATTCAGTAGTTATTTCCCATGCATTCAGAATATTGTTCCAACCCTTTTACCAAAGGCAGAGCCCTGCAGCAGATCAAGGCACCAGAACAAAAGCCCTGTCATATCACTCAGTAGACCCTATGAACCCTATGATACTTGAGGGAGCTGTGGTTGGAAAAGTTGCCAGAAGGTTATTAGTAATCCCAGTATGAGAGCAACAGCACCGACTCCTAGGACTCTGGAGCAAGATGATATCATTTGGTAATAAAGAAGTAGACGCCATTAGAAAAGAAGTTCTTAGATTCTTGACTGAGGTGAAGCACTGACCATGGGATATCATGAAACTTGCAGCTAGAGACAACCATCCTGTGCTGGGCTCTGTCAGACCCAGCAAGTCATGAGTTGTATGGGCAGCTATACATCATAAAATGGAAGTGACAGATAAAGAATTGGGCATGAGCAGGGTCAAAGGATACAATTAAGTTGTACGAGGTGACAGCCAAGATCCCCGTAGCATCTACTATTATTGCACTTTGTTCACAACTATAGTGTCACAAGTATCTCAGCTCACAACTATGGCTACATGGGGGTGTTCCTTATGACCAGCTGACTGAAGAAGAAAATGCCAACCATTCAAAGATGAGTCAGCTCAGTGTAAGGATGGAAGCCAAAAATAGATGCTGCTACACTACAATCCTATTTGGGGTGGCCCTGAAAGAGAACAGTGAGGGGAAATCCTCCCAGGTGGCAGAGAACCTAGTCTACTTTGTGTGGAAAGAAGAGCAGCTCAAGGTAAGAGTGTATATAAACTCGTGGATAGTGGTAAATGGAAGGCAGTTTGTTCAGGGGCTTAGAAGGAAAAATATTAGAATATCATGGGTAAGGTGTGAATATAAAGTGTGCAGAATTTTGTCTCCCATGTTAACATACATCAAAGTATTCTCTACCAAAAAGGCACTAATCAACATTCATGACTCAGTCATGGATTCAGCCAGCCTCTCTCACTGGCTGCTGGGATACTGGCATGATGGGCACATGAATGGAGAAGCTGTAGTTGTGGGGGTGGTGGCTAGGAGCAAACCCAGTAACATGAACTTCCATTCACCAAGGCTGATCCAGCTACTGCTGCTGCTCTGCCATATGTCCAGCCTCTCAATCACAAGACCAATTGATTAAGAAAAATCAATTCAGGGGCCTCCCCGGTGGCGCCGCGGTTGAGCGCTGGGCTGCGAAGCTGCCTGCAGCCTCTGCGGCGCCAGCTCGATCCCCGGCTGCTCCCTGGCCACCGGAGGAGGGTCCCACATGGCGCACACGCAGACCTCTCCTGCCGCCCTCTGCTCCCCTCAGCAGTGTCTCTTGGTCCTTCTGCCTGCTCTGCTCCCCGCTCTGGCTCTGGTGAATTCTCTCACCCTCCCGCGCTTCTGACTGTACCCAGTGCTTGTACAAATAAATAAATAAATAAATAAATAAATAAATAAATAAATAAATAAATAATAAATCTTTAAAAAAAAAAAAAAAAGACTCTTGGAAATGCAGGTCTGGGCCACCACACCAGGCAATCTATTTAGACTAGCATAAGTGCTAGCAGAGCCTGAGGCAAATCTAGAATGGGTGGTGAAAAGGGAATAAAGAAAGTATCAGTTACTAGAGGCTTGAGATCCATTGCAGGAGCTGCAACTGTGATATAAGTTTCCCAGCAATAAGAGCAGGCCAGAATCCAGGAGTTGCTGGTTACAAGATGGATGAACTTATTAAAAACAAATGGATCTGCACCTCCTCTTCAGCATCAAAGGTCAATGCACCCATCTTTTACAGCAATATTCTAGTCACACCTATTATATTTTCACCACAGATATGAACTATGTTAATAAACTGAATTAAATCCTCAATGCAAAACTATAATGAACTGTAATAATTTTGCTAAATCTGAATATTAACACCTTAAATTGAACAAAAAATATTTAAGAACACTTAGGCAACTAGTTCAAATTGGAATCAAACCAAACTAGAACAACACATTTTCTCACATATAAACATTTGAGTTTATTGGCCAAGGGAAGCTGTAAGCTTGCAACGAAAGTTCCAGACACTGCACATACAACCCTAGTCAGCCTCTGTGTGGCCTTAGCAGCCTTGGCTAATTAGAAGCTCTTTCCTCTGGCAGGTTAGCTGATAAAAGTTTTCTAAAGTCTGTTCCCAGCTGAGGTTAGGGGAAATAACTATAATTTTAAAACTTAGCTTGCATTAAGTTATCTATTTGGTTCTGATGGGGAAGAAAATATCAACTGT